GTAAAAATTGTGACTGATGCATGCAAAAGCATGAAATAAGGAGTAGTTTCTACTCTGCATGCAAAACTGTGGTAGATATGATATTGAAATGCACCATTGGGTTCTACGGCTATATAATCTGAGTCACTATTGGGCTGTTGCATTGCAGAAATAGGAAACAATGGCTATTTGTGCCCAGCTCCTCCCAATCATCTTTCTAATCTTAGACACGACTAAAAGGCATCTTGCATGTACAAGTCTACATTTATGACTCTCCGCCAATCCAGGAATGTGGAGATATACATTTAAAACCATGTCTTAAAAGAAAATGTTTACCTTCAGACTTAATAATGCATCCAAATGCAATTTCAGTGATGGAAAAGGAAACAAGAGAGTAGCATTGAATATGTGCTGAAAACCCAGGAATGTACAGTATCTATGACTTACCCTGAAGGTCTGTACCATAACTTGATTCTGTGGAATTCATAGCTAGACAATAGCGTTCTTGAGATGTAGGAGAGACGACCTGCAGTGTGCTTGACGTTAAGTTTAAGCTACTTGCATCAGGTTAAAAAAATAATAAATGGCCATCAACCAAAAATGTATATTCCTGACCTTCCGAGTTGAAAGTAGTCTCCCAGGAGTTGGAACCGGCGCTGACGGTGAGTGCGTTTCCTCAAAAGCACAGTTTTGGTTCCATGAAGAGTATTCCCTTTCTGAATGAACTTTTGTAGATATTGGAGTTTTCTTCTCCTCATCAGAAGATAACTCATGTTCCAATAAACCCATATGATTCTCGCTATTCAAATTGTTGTTTACTATATCAATGATGTTACCTTTCAGTTGTTGCTTTTCCTCAGTTTTACCATCTTGTGAGGAAAGTAACTCCTCTTCAGTACTTGAGCAGGGATGGGGCCCCCAAGATGAGCTACAAGTTCTATGAGGGCTACCTAATGTAGCAATTTGCTGATTTGTAGTCAATTTCTTGTTTAATGTACCCTGTAACAGGCAAGACTCACCACCGTAGTAAGGTTCCTTTTTGCCAGTGCTATCGTCAACCACCAATTCAGGAACTTGAACTACAGGCTTACTGCTCTGCACTGAGAACTCATGCAGATGACAACTTCCGGAGCAACCATTCACATCTGAACTTTGATCTTTGCCATGCGAAATTGTTTCGAGAGGCTGCTCTATCTGTCCCTCTCTCCCAAATTCTGAACTAGGCATATCCAGAAACTGATGGTGCCTTTCCTCTTGATTGCTCACATCCATAAGATCTTCAAAACTGGGTACGAGAACACAAAGAGGCTCAACATACTCCAGATGGTCATAGGAAACTTGATTAAGAGTACAGCTTTGGTATTGTTCTCCATCTAGATCTGGCTCCAACCTTCGGCATTCAACTCTCCCACTGTTTCCATCATTTATAACTTGAATGATGTTTGATTCATAAGTGGGATTGACAGTGAAGGTTTCATCAACAAAGGGGGTACTGTTTTGGCATCCTTCAAGTTCAGGTTCTGGAACCTCTGTCTTAACATGAGCGACTGAATGCAAACCCCCATGAAATTGCACTGAACTTTCAGGATCCGGACCTTGTTCAGACTTTATTTTAAAAACAGAAAGTTCAGAAGATTCGGAACTACTTCTTATACACTTTTTTTTAGCCTTTGGAGACTTCATTTTCAAGCTACTTAGGGGGACCTTGAGGTCAGATTCATCATCCTCCCGCTCCAGTTTTATGTGAACATGTTGAGGATTCAAACCAACAGAAACGGAACGTCTTCTCTTCTTTACTTTGCACTTCTGCTTAAGTTGTTTCAGTGTCATTTTTCCAAAAATATCGTCATCTGAATCATTGCCAGTTTCACCATCACTGATAGAGCAAACAGCTTCATTTCTTGCAGGGTGAACCTCCTGCAAACTTCGGACTGCCAGTGGCAGACATTGGCTCTCAATCTTGACCCTGTCACTGCTAAGCCCTGAACCTGACTGCAGAAAACTGTGTGAAGTAGTTCTCATCTCTCCAGTGTTGTAAATGTCTTTTAATTTCTTGAACATGAGGGCCGGCTTGCCACAGGAATTAACATTGCAGAGTTTTGAAACCAAATTGCCCTTTATAGCATTGATGAAATGTAGATTGCTGCAGCTCCTCCTCTCCATAGTTGGATAACTGAACCTTCCCTCTCTATCTCATGATAGCTTGTTGACAAGAAAATGAAGGTTACCACTTCAGCTCACGGACATCTGCATTTGTGCAAAAAATACCAGTACGTGTATAAAGTGGATCAAACTCCTAAACCAAGCAAATGCGTGGCACTTATTTTGCCTAGAAACATGTTGACAAGAAAGTGTCAGTCTTTTTCTTAAAATTCACCTAAGAAGTCAAGCAAGCCCATCCTTTGTTCTTAACAAAAGCTTTAGACCCAAAAAAAAAAAACTTAAAGTATACATTTATGAAATTAATACTTGATATTAATAATAAAAAGCAGCAATATTGATTTGTAATTCAAACATACTTGTGATCGTGCTAATGAAGCAAAGCAAAAGCCATACATTGGTGTGACAAAAGTTGGAATCAATGTGGTATAACTGTGAAATTGAAGCTATTTTACATTAGCAAAACTTAGATAAGGCAAAAAAGGATAATAAATTGTAGTGAACAACACTGGAGTTTAGATACTGGTGGCTGTGACATACTATATTACTATGTTCAAATTAAACGGAGAATAATTAAAAAGAGGTTATTCTTGAAGAAAGCTTTCAGAAGCCCTTGAATTTTGACAATTGACTACCTCTTTCAGTGTAGTTCAAATGTTTCCATTCATTGTGGGCAAAAGCTCAATGAAATACGCTAAAAGCATTGCCAATATATAAACAGTAACACTATTAACACGATCTTGGGAAAAAAAATGAAAAAGACAACATTCTAATCTTTCCATTTTTCCATATTAATATCGTATAGGTGAGATACATAAATTGCCCAGTTCAATTCATAATTTTCGTTTCCAATCCTTAATCGACTATAGTTTCAAGGAGGTCCACTAACACATCACAGAAAATTCACAGCCTATTTCCTTGCAAATTGCAATTGCATGATTGAAATTGCAAACTAAACCAGTATAAATGCTTTTTTTCACATAAAACAACCCAACGCTCCTTGTCCGCCCATAGCTTCAAATTTTTAACAAAGAATCTACATAGAAACATATATAAAGTAAAAAATGCAACGCTAATGCACGGATCTAAGAATGAAGAATGCTATAATAAAAGGATACCTGAAGATTCTGATGCGCAAGGGGAGATGGAGAGAACCTAAGTGGGCAGAGGCGGAGAAGCTGATTATTTTTTTTTTTTTGGGTGGTAGGAAGCTGAGATTTACTTGTGTGTAGCAGATGGTAAAAGTACTATGACATGGGAAATCCGGTACAAATCTCGCGCCAATTCATTTGGCGGGAACTAGGGTTCTAGTTTGGGTCAATTTCCATCTAGACCCCGCCTAGGTATAAAATAAGTAGTCATAGCCCACCAAACGCTTAAAAAAAGTAGCCAATAGACCCCAACTGATTATTATGGTTTTTTCTTAGTCCTTTACAGGAGTGGAAAAAGATGCTTCATTAAGGAAAAAGAGCAAAAATAAGTGCATTCCTCATACCATATTATCCTCGTGTTCGTAGTTTACAAATGGTGATATATGCTTATGATTTTCGGCTAATTGAATATACCTGAAATTAGATGGTATAATAGATTAGATTACATTAGCTAGGCTACACACTGCATTTGCAAAGAAGCGTGCCTCACTTGGACTATTATTTAAAATTTTTCAATGAATGTTCAATGGATGTTTGTTAACACATTTGAATCATACATAGTCCCGTTTTAATAATCCAATTAAGCACTTAAACTGAATGAATTCAGATCTTAATATATTTTTATGCGTTTGACAATAAAAAATTAAACATCTGAATTTAATTAAGTGATATTGAATTTTTTAGACAAAACTTGCTTCCAAAAAGTGTAAGCTGACACAGACATGGAGAGAAGCAAATAGAGTTGCAAATTATCTGGCCAAGTGTAGTCTAGAGGGGGCGATGGGGTTTATAGTTTGCCAAGTGTAGTCTAGAGGGGGAGATGGGGTTTATAGTTTTGCAGGATCCACTTGATGGGGTTAGGAATATTTTGGCAGAAGACATTGTAGGGATAGTTACCCCGAGACTTGTCCCAAGCTAACGGGTCGAAAGCCCTCCGTTGTACCAAAAAAAAATATATACTTTCAAAAATAAGTGATAAACTATTCATTTATTATTGAATATGATATATATTCAAATATATTTGATTTATTATTTAACAATTCAATAATTTAAACTTTAGGTTTTAATTTTATCAAATGCACCTTTAATTTATCATATAAGTATACGCACTAACAATTATTATAAAAAATAATTATCCTTCCATTACATTTAACACCTCCCCTAATTAGTTTTACCATTTTAAAAAACCTAACACATGAACTAATGCCCATAGACAAACACTTTTTTATTGTTTCAAATATTGGGTTATACTCGTGATTTTTGGTATTTGGGAATTTCTGGTGTCAAGTTAGTCGACTAAATCATAGGATCATTACAGTACAAGTTCATTTTTGTAATTTGAGGAACTTTGTTTAGGCAAATATCGTTGAAGCCATGTTAAAATTTGAAAGACAATCATACATAAAACAACTTAAAAGCGTGGTATAGTTGTGTGGTAGACAATGAAGCATTCGAACCTCAAAGGCGTGCTATACCGAACGATTCAAGTTGCTCCTTTGCCTCATTGACTCCAAGCTGTCGTAATGCCTCCTCTTCTGGTGAAGGCGTGATATTAAAGTTAATGAAAGAGAAAGACTTCGAAGCAGTCTTTCCAATAACGTTTCTAAAAGGCGCTATCCATGGAGTCAGCAAAAATTACGACTTCACTGATGTAAAAGGAACGAGGCAAACTTGGGAAACCCCGTAAACCTGTTAGACACTCGTTTTGTTACTTATCCCGCTCAGCTTAGCATATGATTTCACTGATATTCTCGAGGTTAGGTAAACAAAACAACAAAGGAAATGAAGGCGTCATTCAAAGCCAGATATGAAACAGACAAAGCGGCGGCGGCGGCTACTGTCGCCGTTAACGCCGGTGACATTAGGCTCCGCGCTTCCATGACTGACGCCACCATAGTCAGCGGCCCCAACTTAAACGGTTTAGCTCTAGCTGTAGAAAAACCAGGTTTCTTCATCGTCGACTACAACGTCCCCAAAAAGGTATTCCTGTTTACTGAAGAAAGCAGAAATTCACCCCCAAATTAGGTTTACTTATTGATTGTGATAAATATTTGGGCATTTTCAGGACTTTAGGTTTCAATTTATGAACACAATCAGGGTTTCGGAGAAGCCATTGAACTTGACATACATGCACAGCAGGGGTGATAATCGCACTAGTTTGGATGGGACTTTGGTGTTTGATTCTGCCAATAAGGTATCGGCTAACCACGTGTTGGGGTCGGGGAATTGTAAGTTGAAGTACACTTACGTCCATGGTGGCCTGACCACTTTCGAGCCCAGCTATGATTTTTCCAAAAATTCGTGGGATTTTGCTATTTCGCGTAGGGTTTACGGCGATGATGTGTTCAGGGCTGCTTATCAGACCTCGAGTAAGAATTTGGGGCTTGAGTGGTCGAGGAATTCAAAATTGAACGGTTCGTTTAAGGTATTACATTGCCGTTTGATTTGTTGGTTGCTATGTTGTTGACCTTTATGAAGAACTTATGGATCAATTTCAGTTGTATAGTTTGAAGGCATTTTTATTTGAGCTATAGCTTATGGATAAGGTTGTGATTCAGTTGCGGAGTCATGAATCATCATACGGTGAATCTAAATGCCTATGGCTTTCATAAATCTCAGTTCACAATGCATTTGCATCTTAGGCACTGGTGTTTTGGTCTCAGTTTGCTCTTTCACCTCATACGCAAAGCATCAAAATAGTTGCTGTTTCGTAATCTCTAAGTGGTTTATGGCACATGTGCATGTTGATTTACAGAAGCCTAAATTTTGTCGGACTATGAAGTGCTAATTTAGTTGCTGTAGCATGATTTCTGTTGGCATTTTGTTTGTGTGCTATATGAGAAAGTGCAGAACAATTTATCTCATGAGAATAGAATTGTATCATAAAAAGTGCTGTTTTGAGCACTTGGTTAACCTCTAGTTGTTGAATATGGATACTACCTGTCACGCATTCAAGGTTTAGGTTTATATGTTTTTTTGGAAAATCATCGCATGTAGCTTCTGGATATAGCCATTGTTTCAGTGGAAATTTCTATCCTGATTCCATGTCAAGGTGTGCCCTTGGAATTTCAAGTGGCATTTTTAAGGGGCCCAAAGTTGGTGTGGGGTGGTACATGCTTCTATACCTGTGTATGTGTACGTGTATGTGCGCATCATTGATGGATCTTTCCATGACTTTTTCAGAGTTCCTATTTGGCTTGTATGTTCTCTTTCTCTTTCAATTTAAGATTGATGAATCTCCCCTTTTGAAGGAGAATTTTGTTGTTTTGATTTCATTTGTTTGTTTGGCAGAAGAGTGTAACTTAATCGCAGACATCTACTTCATATATTCAGCAGAATGTAAAGGAGGAGTTTCAATCAGACACTTCATATATTCAGCAGAATGTAAAGGAGGAGTTTCAATCAGATAGTTAATTGGGCTTTAGTTACCCAATGAGAATGCTGTTGTGTGAAAGTTTTGTAAATAGATCTTAGTGAGTTAAGTATTTCCACTTCTTTTTTTAAAGGTCAGAAATGTGACCTGAAAACTTAAATGAGAGTTAGCATATATTTTCAGAAGTTAAAAAATGTTGTCATCCGCTCTTCAATTGCTAATCTATGCAGAATGTGGCTATCATTCATGCATGTTGTCTACTCTTTACTTGTGGCATCCAGTACACATAAAAATGCAATCCATGTTGGAGTGATGGAGTGTTTTATGATGATTTTCCTTTATTTTTGATTGACTTGCTGCCTGGGTTACACGGTTGCCACTTTACTAGTACCTTTGTACATTCTTTTTGAGATATTTTGGGTAATTATTATCTTGACACATGCAATGATGTTGTGGCTGATGTGTCTTGGATACAACAGAAAAATGACAATGCCTTGATATGAAGGCTATTGGGTTTGTTGGATGTTGTTGTGTTTCCATATGCTTCCAAGCCATGTTGCAAAAGATGCATGAGTAGAGATGGACTGGCAAAATGCTTAGGTCCTTGTAATGGAGCATAAACTTAGAGTAGAAGTGGCATTTAATGTTGCTTGTCTCGTCCCTTACAAATTTAGGCATCATTTTAACTAGGTTAACCTTGTTAATTGAATGTTCTGCTGGCTTTTCACTTCTACTCTTAATTTTTGTCCCTCTTCCTTTCAGATTTCAGCATCACTCAACTTGGCAGATGAAAGGAAAATGCCTAAATTAACTGCTGAGAGTGCTTGGGACTTTGAGATGTGACCCTACCTCTGGTTTCATTACCCTGCTGCAACCATTCAGATCAACCTGTCTCCTTGTGACTGCTTCATATTTTTTGGCTCAATTGTATGCCATTTTTTTTCACATTTCAAATGTGATTATGAAATTTCTGAGCGGTGATCCATGAACTTCTATTTATATTTTTCTTGACGTGCGGCGGATTCCAGATATGCACTCTTTCCTCGAATAAAAATTTCTATAAGTTTGATTACTTGAATAGAGCCATCAATCATTTGGAAACAAAAAATCTGACCGTCTTAACTTAGATGGTTTTCGAATTTCACTACTGTGTTCAAGCAAACTTTTGCTATACAAACAATTGGTGTCAAGGGCCTACAAGGTTTCCACGCTTGCGAATTATTGGTCTGGCTTGTAAAATTCCATATGCTTCCAGCAACTGGAGCCGGTCTCTAAAATTCCATGATCTGCAAACGATATCGCTCCGACTATTGTAGAAGCTGGTCGGAACCAGATAATTAGAAGATGCATGTGACAGCAATTAGCAAGCTTATCCCCTCTCCACAAAATGAAAACGTATCAGCTTTTGATCATGGTTCGACTACTACAAGCCAAAAAAATAGATAATTAAGTGACAAGATCCAATGTTAAGCCTTGCTTGGATTGCTTGTTTCCGTTGGAAAATATTATCGTTTTCCGTGATCACATTTTCCTATCACCTTTTTCTTTCACATATATCAAATCGTTACAGTAATTTTTCCATAAAAAATGACGGAAAATGCAATCCAAACACAACCTAAGGTTAGCATTTTGGATTCTAATTGTTCTGTTTATGTTGGTGATTAGTTGCAGAGGCAAGAGACATGAGACAATTCTGGACGTAGCTAGGACCTCTCCTTCAAGATTTGATAGCCGACGACTGTTAAAGATGTTAAACCTACTTTCTTTCTTTTTTTTTTTTACAATAAACATCATAATTTTATAAAGTCTCCACTAATGACAGAAATTACACAAGATACATACAAATACAAATACGAAGAACCGGCATTAAACCTGCTTGATCCCAAACGCAATCGCAGATTCGCAGTGTATGATAGTAATCCAATGACCTTCGAAAAACCTATTTCCAAAATTACCGTACGCTTTTGGCGGCTAATTTCATGGTATCTCTATTTTGCGCCAATCTGGTTTTTCCTCAAAATTTGAAAACTTGCCGCCTAAACTGCTAAACCTCAATTACATCCCAAAAGATGAAAGAGAAATCGCTAGAGCAGATCCATTCTCCGTTCTCCATCCTCTAATCAATAAAAACTCCAGATTTCTCTCCCCTCTCAAATTAGCAATGGACAGTGACGATGATTATCAATCATCCTCACCCCTCCAACCTTCCCCACAACCCCAAAATCGAAGGCTCAAACGCTTGAAGAAGAAAGCAACGGAAGTCTCCAGCAAGCCACCGTCGCCGCAGCAACCCGATTCATTAGACCCTTTGCTTGGCATTCCGAGGGTTGACTTTGCCCGATTGGAAGCTCTAGAAGCTTCAGCAACCAAAACACTTGATTCTTTTTTTGATGACTCAAATGAATCGCCATTGCCGTCTCACGTCGGGACCGAAATGAAATCCGAGGGATATATTAGGATGGATTCAGAGGAACTGGACTCGGAATTGGCATTTGAAAAAGATAATCGGACGTATTCAGAATTGGCATCTGAAAACAATAATCAGATGGATGCGGAAATGGCACTTGAGAAAGACAGCAGAGAGGCTAAGAGGGCTTTGGAGTTCGATGATGTGGCTGATGTTGAACAGGATCGTGATTCCAAGTCGGAGAAATTCGAGAAGAAAAGGGCTACTTCTGAACTGGATGTGGACAATAAGACAGATGAGATGGAAGGGGATAGTAGTAAGAAAAAGAAAAGTAAGAGAACTAAGAATGATACTACTGTTGATGATGACATGAAATCTAAAGTTTCTGCTTCAGACAAAAGGAGACAAGAAAAGGTAATAAGAATTCATTACATCTGCATTTCTTCCTAGTTGTACTGCCTACAAGATTTTATTCTTTTTTCTTTTTCTTTTCCAAAATCTTTTCATCCATGTAAAACTAATTTGTTTGTTGTGTTGATGTGCAGGAAAGAAAAACTTACCTTAAGCAACTTCACGCTGAATCGCAGAGGCTATTGCGAGGTTTCTACCAAATTTTACACAGTTGCTCTAATCTGCCAACGTTGAAGTTATTATGTAAATGACTGTTGTTTAGGTTTTTCTTCTGCCCTTTTGTTCAGAAACTACAGAAGCTGCATTTAAACCCATACCCGTGGTTAAAAAACCGATATCCTCAGTCTTGGAGAAGATCCGGCAGAGAAAACGTGAGCTTTCTAAAAAGTGAGTATCTCTAGAGCCAATTTTGTTGCCTTCTACAAATGAACTTTTTGGTATTTATCAGTAGATAGACATTATGATACTAACTTTTGGTTGGCAGAAACTTAATTCTAAACAATAATGCTTTTGCTGCTGCAAACGGTGGTGTTCGAAGAGATGATATTGGCTATCAGCCAACAAGCAGATTACTGGAAGAGAGAGAAGATAAATTATCAAAAGCGGTAGAAGATATAGTGGCATGTCCAGTGTTACCAAGTCGAGATGCTTTAGACGTAGATAAATCTGATGAACCTCTAGTTCCTTCAAGCCATGAGATTGGTCCCCCTGATGAGGTAAGGGAAGTTGGATAGCGAATAATCAGAAGCACATGCTCCACTTTTCTAATGTATTTGTTGTTTGAATTATAGCATATCACTGTATATTTCAGGGGTTAGAGGATGAACAATCTATTTGTGCTAGATGCTATTGCTATGATTAAATGAACTTAAAACCTTGTAGTTACCTGCAAATTTATGATCTGGTTTGCTGTATGAAAAGTTGTACCATCTCACTGCAGGCTTCAAGTGAGAAACCCTCACCTATGTTTAGAGCACCTATTGATGATACACAGGTTAGATTCATATTTTTGTATGGAAAAAGGGAAGTCCATTTCTGCTGATCATGTTTATTGACTGTTTGAATGGTATTTGCTGGCTTTGTAGGATCTTTTTGGGGATTCAGAAACAAAGGAATGCTATGATGAGCTGCCTGGTGGCCTTCAGGATAGTCCTTTGGAAGAAGTTATGGCACCATCTTTACTTGCTATGAATTTGAAGTTTGATTCAGTACCTTCTAATGATAGGTAAGTGAAGTCAACTCCATTATCAACCCAGAAAATAAAAAAGACAGGCAACCTCATCCTTTTCAAAGTTTGTTGAGTACATTAATGTAACGCAACATAGCTTCGTACTTGATAAAATACTTTGTCTTTTGCCTGTTGCTTCTTTTCTATGGTGTCATTTTTTGTGCAGTATTTGTGTATGAAGCTTAAGTGCTTAACTTTTTAATCATGGGGATGATATTACTGCATTGAAATTATTTACTCGTACAACTTAGAAAGTTTCTGCTTTGCAGTTCTTCAGATGAGGACAATTACAAGGAGAACATTGATCCTCTACCACATGGAGGTGAGGATGACAGTACCTCTCCAAGAGGTGCTCCATTTAAAGCTTTTCTGGATGAGGAAGCTGAGGAAGAAGATGACAGTGATAATGAACTGCTCCAGTCCAAAGAAACCGAAGAAGATGAGGACATGGAAGATTCTGAGGAACTCAATGACATAATAGCAACTGAGTATGAAGAGAGGCCAATTGATTGTGATAGACGGAATGAACTTCATCAGAAGTGGCTTGAGCAGCAAGATGAGGCTGGAACAGACAATCTGCTTCAGAGATTAAAGGTTGGCTCAGAACCCAAAGACACTGCCTTGGTTGGTGAGGAGCAAGAAGAGATTGAGGATGGAGAGGACTGTAATGATGAGGATGTGGTACCAAGAAATTATGCTCGCATGAATACAAAGAAAGCAAAGCAAATAATTACTCAGATGTTTTTGGATAAAGATGACTCATTCATATCTGATGAGGATGAGGAGGTTGAAAGGAGGCGTGTTAAGCAGCATCTTCTTGTTAGAGCAGTTAGTTCGTTTCTCTTTTGCTTTGTTTGTTTTGATTTTGGCTTTTTATTCTTTTCAAATAGATTAAGATTCAGAAGATTGAAACAGGAAGAACAGGCAACATTGGTTTCACCTATGGAGGATGAAGGTTCCAGGGAAGTGTTTGGTCTCATAAAGAAGCTTAATATTGTGCCAGAAAACAAGAAGAAAGCAAAAGCATCATGTAAGATACTTTCTTCTTGATGCAGTTTGAACTTTCTTAATGCATGTAAGCACCATGTAATCCATGTCAAATGGCAATCTGAAATGGATTGCATCTTATGTTTATCTGTCTGGATTTCTCATACTTGTTACTTTATTCCTTTGCAGCGTACTTTGAGTCAGAGCTAAAAGGAGGACAGAGTAGGAGTTTTTCAAAGGTAAACTCACCTTACAGTAATGGGTATAGAATTTCAAAGAGGTTGAAATTACCCCTTGGTAGATACCTGGTATTGGGTCTGTCATCCAATTATAACTGAGCAGTGCTACAAGGGGTGCTAGAAAATGTTCAAGCACAAATACCATGCCCCATGTCAGTATTCGGCAATGGTTTGCTTTAAAGGGATATGGATTTTCTCAAGGACTTGTAGGATTCAGCTTTGTGGTACTAGAATTCATTATCTTTGGGATAGATCTATTAACCTTAGCATTACAAGAAGCAAGTTTTCTGAATGGAAGCTCTTATCTGCTTTAGATTCGTGAACTTTTCTTGTAAAAAACATAAGCTAAGCAAGCTAATCATAGCTGTTCTCTTAAACTGTTGCAGTCATCTTTCGTTGGTCGATCGTCGTACCATTCTCTTCCTTCATCCCACAAGCAAGGTTCAGGCACAGTTCGATCATTTATTTTTGGGAGGGATGACAGCAATAGCAGAACTTCAATCTCGAAATCAGACGACTCTTTAGATACAGTAAGCATTGTATCATTCATCAATGCTTTTCAGCTACTGTAACCCACATAAACTTAACTAGATAGCCTAAATAATTAAACTTCATGAGTGCCTCAGAACCTTCATGTACATTTCTGCCTCACTGTAGTTAAAGTAGTGCCCCTTTTGTGGCTGAATGTAGCAGGAACTTATTCTTGTGGTATTTGCTTCTGAAAATGCAGATCTCTAAAGAAAAACCAATGAGGACCGTTACTGCTACAGTCAGTAGCTCGCAAGCCAAGTTCAGTAGTC